TGGCTTTGGCACGTGCCAATCAATAATGATAATTGATTATATATAGAAAAATATACAATTAAAAATAAAAGAATGCATAAAATATATCTATGTAATACAGTAATATATAATAATATATTTTGCATTATTATATATATTCTAGAGAGGAAAAGCGGAGTATAAATAATAATAATAATAATAATAATAATAATAATAATAATAATAGTGTGGCTTTGGCATGTGCCAATAAATAATGATAATTGATTATATATAGAAATATATACAATTAAAAATACAACAATGCATAGAATGTATCTATATAACACAGTAATATATAATAATATATTTTGCATTATTATACATATTTTAGAGAGGAAAAGCAGAGTATAAATAATAATAATAATAATAATAATAATAATAATAATAATAATAATATAAGAGTAATAATAATAATAATATTAGTGTGGCTTTGGCATGTGCCAATAAATAATGATAATTGATTATATATAGAAATATATACAATTAAAAATAAAAGAATGCATAAAATATATCAATGTAATACAGTAATATATAATAATATATCTTTTGCATTATTATATATATATTTTAGAGAGGAAAAGCAGGGTATAAATAATAATAATAATAATAATAATAATAATAATAATATAAGAGTAATAATAATAATAATATTAGTGTGGCTTTGGCATGTGCCAATAAATAATGATAATTGATTATATATAGAAATATATACAATTAAAAATAAAAGAATGCATAAAATATATCAATGTAATACAGTAATATATAATAATATATCTTTTGCATTATTATATATATATTTTAGAGAGGAAAAGCGGGGTATAAATAATAATAATAATAATAATAATAATAATAATAATAGTGTGGCTTCAGCACGTGCCGATACAGAGCTCAAAGGTATTGCTGTGACAATATGTGCATGTGTTGCGCATGTCTCTGTTGTTGCCGGCTCCAAATGTGTGCCGTTTGCCCCTTTGTGTGTATGTGTGTGTTGTCGGTGTGGCTTGTGCATGTGCGCCTCCCTCCTCGCCAGACCCAGCCGTGCGCCGGCCTGTCGCGGGGAGTCACACCTAGGCGCACAAAAATAGGTCAATGCCAGCCCACACTTGCATTTCTCATAGAGAGAGAGAGTGTGTGTGTCACACACATACACAACAGAAGGAGGAGGCAAGGCAACCTGGTCTGCTCCCATAGAAACTTATGGCAGAGACGCAAACAAGAAGGTCCCCTATGGGAGAAGCAAGGCACCCTGGTCTACCAATAGAAGCCTATGGCAAAGGCCTCCTGGTCTACCAATAGAACCTTATGGGAGAAGCAAAGCACTCTGGTCTACCCATGGAAGGCTATGGGAGAAGCAAGGCACCCTGGTCTACCAATAGAAGCCTATGGCAAAGACCTCCTGGTCTACCAATAAAACCCTATGGGAGAAGCAAAGCCTCCGGGCTGATATGGGCGGGATATTAATAACGTAAATAAATAAATAAATAAATCCTGGTCTACCAATGGAACCTTATGGGAGAAGCAAGACGTCCTGGTCTACCAATGGAACCTTATGGGAGAAGCAAGGCACCCTGGTCTATCCATGGAAGGCTATTGGAGAAGCAAGACGTCTTGGTCTACCAATAGAAGCCTATGGGAGAAGCAAAGCATCCTGGTCTACTCCAATAGGAAATTCTGGGAAAGGCATCCTGGTCTACTCCAATAGAAGCCTATGGGAGAAGCAAGGCACCCTGGTCTACCAATAGAACGTTATGGGAAAGTTGCCCTGGTCTACCAATGGAACCTTATGGCAGAAGCAAAGCACCCTGGTCTACCAATGGAAACTTATGGGAGAAGCAAGGCACCCTGGTCTACCAATAGAACTCTATGGCAAAGGCCTCCTGGTCTACCAATAGAAGCCTATCGGAGAAGCAAGACGTCTTGGTCTACCATTAGAAGCCTATGGGAGAAGCAAGGTACCCTGGTCTACCAATAGAACTCTATGGCAAAGGCCTGGTCTACCAATGGAAGCCTATGGGAGAAGCAAAGCACCCTGGTCCACTCCAATAAAACCCTATGGCAAAGTTGCCCTGGTCTACTGTTCCAAGGACTCCTATGGGAAAGACATCCTGGTCTACTCCAATGGAACCCTATGGCAAAGGCACCCTGGTCTACCAAAACAACCCTATGGAAGAAGCAAGCACCCTGGTCTACTCCAATAGAAGCTTATGGGAAAGGCACCCTGGTCTACCAATGGAACCTTATGGGAGAAGCAAAGCACTCTGGTCTACCAATGGAACCTTATGGGAGAAGCAAAGCACTCTGGTCTACCAATAGAAGCCTATGGAAGAAGGAAGGCATCCTGGTCTACCAATAGAACCCTATGGGAGAAGAAAAGCACCCTGGTCTACTCCAATAGAAGCTTATGGCAAAGGGATCCGGGTCTACTCCACTTGAACCTTATGGGAGAAGCAAGGCATCCTGGTCCACCCATAGAACCTTATGGGAAAGACATCCTGGTCTACTCCAATGGAACTCTATGGGAGAAGCAAAGCAATAGAACCTTAAGGGAGAAGCAAAGCACCCTGGTCTACTCATAGAATCATAGAATCAAAGACTTGGAAGAGACCTCGTGGGCCATCCAGTCCAACCCCTTTCTGCCAAGAAGCAGGAACATTGCATTTAACATTGCACCCCTGACAGATGGCCATCCAGCCCCTGTTTAAAAGCTTCCAAAGAAGGAGCCTCCACCACACTCCGGGGCAGAGAGTTCCACTGCTGAACGGCTCTCACAGTCAGGAAGTTCTTCCTCATGTTCAGGTGGAATCTCCTCTCTTGCAGTTTGAAGCCATTGTTCCATTGCGTCCTAGTCTCCAGGGAAGCAGAAAGGAAGCTTGCTCCCTCCTCCTCCCTGTGGCTTCCTCTCACATATTTATACATGGCTCTCATCATATCTCCTCTCAGCCTTCTCTTCTTCAGGCTAAACATGCCCAGCTCCTTAAGCCGCTCCTCATAGGGCTTGTTTTCCAGACACTTGATCATTTGAGTCGCCCTCCTCTGGACACATTCCAGCCTGTCAATCTCTCTCTTGAATGGTGGTGCCCAGAATTGGACACAATATTCCAGGTAAAGTGGTCTAACCAAAGCGGAATAGAGCATGGGGAGCATGACTTCCCTCGATCTAGACACTATGCTCCTCTTGATGCAGGCCAAAATCCCATTGGCTTTTTTTGCCGCCACATCACATTCCTGGCTCATGTTCCCCTTCCTCCCCATGAGGACTCCAAGATCTTTTTCACACGCACTGCTCTCGAGCCAGGCCTCATTGTCCCTCATTTTGTATCTTTGCATTTCGTTTTTTCTGCCAAAGTGGGGTCTCTTGCATTTGTCCCTCTCGAACTTCATTTTGTTAGTTTTGACCATTCATCTCTCTAACCTCTCTAATCTGTCAAGATCATTTTGAATTCTGCTCCTGTCCTCTGGAGTATTGGCTATCCCTCTGGTCTACCCATGGAATCTTATGGAAGAAGCAAAGCACCCTGGTCTACTCCAGTTGAACCCTATGGCAAAGGCCTCCTGGTCTACTAATGGAAATTTATGGCAAAGGCATCTTGGTCTACTCCAATGGAACCTTATGGGAGAAGCAAAGCATCCCTGTCTATCGATGGAACCTTATGGGAAAAGCAAAGTACGCTGGTCTACTCCAATAGAAGCCTATGGCAAAGGCACCCTGGTCTACCAATAGAATCCTATGGGAGAAGCACAGCATCCTGGTCTACCAATAGAAACTTAAGGGAAAAGCACCCTGGTCTACCAATGGAACCTTATGGTAGAGGTGAAGGAACCTGGTCTACCAATAGAAGCCTATGGGAGAAGCAAAAGACCCTGGTCTACCAATGGAACCTTATGGGAGAAGCAGGGCACCCTGGTCTACCAATAGACTCTTATGGGAAAGGCACCCCAGTCTACTCCAATGGAACTCTATGGCAGAGGCAACACGTCCCGGTCTACCAATGGAACCTTATGGGAGAAGCAGGGCACCCTGGTCTACCAATAGACTCTTATGGGAAAGGCACCCCAGTCTACTCCAATGGAACCCTATGGCAGAGGCAACACGTCCCGGTCTACCAATGGAACCTTATGGGAGAAGCAAGGCTTCCCGGTCTACCAATAGACTCTTATGGGAAAGGCACCCTGGTCTACTCCAATGGAACCCTATGGCAGAGGCAAGACCTTCTGGTCTACCAATGGGACCTTATGGGAGAAGCAAGGCACCTCGGTCTACCAATAGAGTCTTATGGGAAAGGCACCCCGGTCTACCAGTGGAACCTTATGGGAGAGGTGAAAGAACCTGGTCTACCAATAGAAGCCTATGGGAGAAGCAGGGCACCCCGGTCTACCAATAGAGTCTTATGGGAAAGGCACCCCGGTCTACCAATGGAACCCTATGGCAGAGGGAAGACCTTCTGGTCTACCAATGGACTCTTATGGGAGAAGCAAAGGTCCCTGGTCTACCAATATACTCTTATGGGAAAGGCGCCCCGGTCTACCAATGGAACCCTATGGCAGAGGCAAGACCTTCTGGTCTACCAATGGAACCTTATGGGAAAAGCAAAGCACCCCGGTCTACTCCCATGGAACCCTATAGCAGAACTCCCTATATATATATAGGACGATGCCATCTCTAGTCAGTCTTGGGGGGCGGGTGGGGGGGGGCTCTCTTTTTGGGGAAGGCCCACAACCCCTTGCGAGATCCCTCCCTGATGCATTCCCACGTTTCCACGCGACACGCGTCTTTTTTCCCCAGTTTCTCCAAATTCCGACAGAGGGGGGGCTTCTATGTATTTTCCAACAAGGGGGGGGCGCTCAGAGGGGGCTCTTAAAGGGACAGGATGCAAAAAAAATGGATTTAAGGGGGGGGGGGTGTTCCAGACATCCGCCAGACAGAAAGGGGAAAAAGAGGGGGGGGGGGGGCTTTTGAAGGATGGATGATGCTGGGGACTCACTGCGGGTTGGAGCTGTTCCAATGGACGGCGTGCCGGTTGGAGGCCAGGCTGGTCCGGAGCAGGAGAAGCAGGACCAGGAGCGGGAGGGAGGGCGGCAGCAGCCCCGCCATCATCCCGCGTCTGAGCCCAAGAGCGGACCCCTCCTCCTCCTCCTCCTCCTCCTCCTCCCCGGCGCGCCCCCGCTCCCCCCTCCCCTCCCCACTCGCGCGCTCCCGGCGCCGCCCACACAGGCTCGAGGGGCGGGGCCTCTGCTAAGACACGCCCCCTCCCGCTTAGCACACTCTCCTGCTCCCCTCCTCGCCCAAAAGGGGGCCTCTCCACACTGCGGGAAGGGGAGGCCACCTCTGAGCATGGGCAGAGGGCCATCCCCCAGGTCAAGGCTTTAGAGGGGGCTAAAGGTGTAGGAAATGGCCAAAAAAGGGGCTCCTGAGCATGGGCAGAGGGCCATCCCCCGGGTCAAGGCTTTAGAGGGGGCTAAAGGTGTAGGAAATGGCCAAAAAAGGGGCTCGTGAGCATGGGCAGAGGGCCATCCCCCAGGTCAAGGCTTTAGAGGGGGCTAAAGGTGTAGGAAATGGCCAAAAAAGGGGCTCCTGAGCATGGGCAGAGGGCCATCCCCCGGGTCAAGGCTTTAGAGGGGGCTAAAGGTGTAGGAAATGGCCAAAAAAGGGGCTCCTGAGCATGGGCAGAGGGCCATCCCCCGGGTCAAGGCTTTAGAGGGGGCTAAAGGTGTAGGAAATGGCCAAAAAAGGGGCTCCTGAGCATGGGCAGAGGGCCATCCCCCGGGTCAAGGCTTTAGAGGGGGCTAAAGGTGTAGGAAATGGCCAAAAAAGGGGCTCCTGAGCATGGGCAGAGGGCCATCCCCCAGGTCAAGGCTTTAGAGGGGGCTAAAGGTGTAGGAAATGGCCAAAAAAGGGGCTCGTGAGCATGGGCAGAGGGCCATCCCCCAGGTCAAGGCTTTAGAGGGGGCTAAAGGTGTAGGAAATGGCCAAAAAAGGGGCTCCTGAGCATGGGCAGAGGGCCATCCCCCGGGTCAAGGCTTTAGAGGGGGCTAAAGGTGTAGGAAATGGCCAAAAAAGGGGCTCCTGAGCATGGGCAGAGGGCCATCCCCCGGGTCAAGGCTTTAGAGGGGGCTAAAGGTGTAGGAAATGGCCAAAAAAGGGGCTCCTGAGCATGGGCAGAGGGCCATCCCCCGGGTCAAGGCTTTAGAGGGGGCTAAAGGTGTAGGAAATGGCCAAAAAAGGGGCTCCTGAGCATGGGCAGAGGGCCATCCCCCGGGTCAAGGCTTTAGAGGGGGCTAAAGGTGTAGGAAATGGCCAAAAAAGGGGCTCCTGAGCATGGGCAGAGGGCCATCCCCCGGGTCAAGGCTTTAGAGGGGGCTAAAGGTGTAGGAAATGGCCAAAAAAGGGGCTCCTGAGCATGGGCAGAGGGCCATCCCCCAGGTCAAGGCTTTAGAGGGGGCTAAAGGTGTAGGAAATGGCCAAAAAAGGGGCTCCTGAGCATGGGCAGAGGGCCATCCCCCGGGTCAAGGCTTTAGAGGGGGCTAAAGGTGTAGGAAATGGCCAAAAAAGGGGCTCCTGAGCATGGGCAGAGGGCCATCCCCCAGGTCAAGGCTTTAGAGGGGGCTAAAGGTGTAGGAAATGGCCAAAAAAGGGGCTCCTGAGCATGGGCAGAGGGCCATCCCCCGGGTCAAGGCTTTAGAGGGGGCTAAAGGTGTAGGAAATGGCCAAAAAAGGGGCTCCTGAGCATGGGCAGAGGGCCATCCCCCGGGTCAAGGCTTTAGAGGGGGCTAAAGGTGTAGGAAATGGCCAAAAAAGGGGCTCCTGAGCATGGGCAGAGGGCCATCCCCCAGGTCAAGGCTTTAGAGGGGGCTAAAGGTGTAGGAAATGGCCAAAAAAGGGGCTCCTGAGCATGGGCAGAGGGCCATCCCCCGGGTCAAGGCTTTAGAGGGGGCTAAAGGTGTAGGAAATGGCCAAAAAAGGGGCTCCTGAGCATGGGCAGAGGGCCATCCCCCAGGTCAAGGCTTTAGAGGGGGCTAAAGGTGTAGGAAATGGCCAAAAAAGGGGCTCCTGAGCATGGGCAGAGGGCCATCCCCCAGGTCAAGGCTTTAGAGGGGGCTAAAGGTGTAGGAAATGGCCAAAAAAGGGGCTCCTGAGCATGGGCAGAGGGCCATCCCCCGGGTCAAGGCTTTAGAGGGGGCTAAAGGTGTAGGAAATGGCCAAAAAAGGGGCTCCTGAGCATGGGCAGAGGGCCATCCCCCGGGTCAAGGCTTTAGAGGGGGCTAAAGGTGTAGGAAATGGCCAAAAAAGGGGCTCCTGAGCATGGGCAGAGGGCCATCCCCCGGGTCAAGGCTTTAGAGGGGGCTAAAGGTGTAGGAAATGGCCAAAAAAGGGGCTCCTGAGCATGGGCAGAGGGCCATCCCCCAGGTCAAGGCTTTAGAGGGGGCTAAAGGTGTAGGAAATGGCCAAAAAAGGGGCTCCTGAGCATGGGCAGAGGGCCATCCCCCGGGTCAAGGCTTTAGAGGGGGCTAAAGGTGTAGGAAATGGCCAAAAAAGGGGCTCCTGAGCATGGGCAGAGGGCCATCCCCCAGGTCAAGGCTTTAGAGGGGGCTAAAGGTGTAGGAAATGGCCAAAAAAGGGGCTCCTGAGCATGGGCAGAGGGCCATCCCCCGGGTCAAGGCTTTAGAGGGGGCTAAAGGTGTAGGAAATGGCCAAAAAAGGGGCTCCTGAGCATGGGCAGAGGGCCATCCCCCGGGTCAAGGCTTTAGAGGGGGCTAAAGGTGTAGGAAATGGCCAAAAAAGGGGCTCCTGAGCATGGGCAGAGGGCCATCCCCCGGGTCAAGGCTTTAGAGGGGGCTAAAGGTGTAGGAAATGGCCAAAAAAGGGGCTCCTGAGCATGGGCAGAGGGCCATCCCCCAGGTCAAGGCTTTAGAGGGGGCTAAAGGTGTAGGAAATGGCCAAAAAAGGGGCTCCTGAGCATGGGCAGAGGGCCATCCCCCGGGTCAAGGCTTTAGAGGGGGCTAAAGGTGTAGGAAATGGCCAAAAAAGGGGCTCCTGAGCATGGGCAGAGGGCCATCCCCCGGGTCAAGGCTTTAGAGGGGGCTAAAGGTGTAGGAAATGGCCAAAAAAGGGGCTCCTGAGCATGGGCAGAGGGCCATCCCCCAGGTCAAGGCTTTAGAGGGGGCTAAAGGTGTAGGAAATGGCCAAAAAAGGGGCTCCTGAGCATGGGCAGAGGGCCATCCCCCGGGTCAAGGCTTTAGAGGGGGCTAAAGGTGTAGGAAATGGCCAAAAAAGGGGCTCCTGAGCATGGGCAGAGGGCCATCCCCCAGGTCAAGGCTTTAGAGGGGGCTAAAGGTGTAGGAAATGGCCAAAAAAGGGGCTCGTGAGCATGGGCAGAGGGCCATCCCCCAGGTCAAGGCTTTAGAGGGGGCTAAAGGTGTAGGAAATGGCCAAAAAAGGGGCTCCTGAGCATGGGCAGAGGGCCATCCCCCAGGTCAAGGCTTTAGAGGGGGCTAAAGGTGTAGGAAATGGCCAAAAAAGGGGCTCGTGAGCATGGGCAGAGGGCCATCCCCCAGGTCAAGGCTTTAGAGGGGGCTAAAGGTGTAGGAAATGGCCAAAAAAGGGGCTCCTGAGCATGGGCAGAGGGCCATCCCCCGGGTCAAGGCTTTAGAGGGGGCTAAAGGTGTAGGAAATGGCCAAAAAAGGGGCTCCTGAGCATGGGCAGAGGGCCATCCCCCGGGTCAAGGCTTTAGAGGGGGCTAAAGGTGTAGGAAATGGCCAAAAAAGGGGCTCCTGAGCATGGGCAGAGGGCCATCCCCCAGGTCAAGGCTTTAGAGGGGGCTAAAGGTGTAGGAAATGGCCAAAAAAGGGGCTCGTGAGCATGGGCAGAGGGCCATCCCCCAGGTCAAGGCTTTAGAGGGGGCTAAAGGTGTAGGAAATGGCCAAAAAAGGGGCTCCTGAGCATGGGCAGAGGGCCATCCCCCGGGTCAAGGCTTTAGAGGGGGCTAAAGGTGTAGGAAATGGCCAAAAAAGGGGCTCCTGAGCATGGGCAGAGGGCCATCCCCCGGGTCAAGGCTTTAGAGGGGGCTAAAGGTGTAGGAAATGGCCAAAAAAGGGGCTCCTGAGCATGGGCAGAGGGCCATCCCCCGGGTCAAGGCTTTAGAGGGGGCTAAAGGTGTAGGAAATGGCCAAAAAAGGGGCTCCTGAGCATGGGCAGAGGGCCATCCCCCGGGTCAAGGCTTTAGAGGGGGCTAAAGGTGTAGGAAATGGCCAAAAAAGGGGCTCCTGAGCATGGGCAGAGGGCCATCCCCCGGGTCAAGGCTTTAGAGGGGGCTAAAGGTGTAGGAAATGGCCAAAAAAGGGGCTCCTGAGCATGGGCAGAGGGCCATCCCCCAGGTCAAGGCTTTAGAGGGGGCTAAAGGTGTAGGAAATGGCCAAAAAAGGGGCTCCTGAGCATGGGCAGAGGGCCATCCCCCGGGTCAAGGCTTTAGAGGGGGCTAAAGGTGTAGGAAATGGCCAAAAAAGGGGCTCCTGAGCATGGGCAGAGGGCCATCCCCCGGGTCAAGGCTTTAGAGGGGGCTAAAGGTGTAGGAAATGGCCAAAAAAGGGGCTCCTGAGCATGGGCAGAGGGCCATCCCCCGGGTCAAGGCTTTAGAGGGGGCTAAAGGTGTAGGAAATGGCCAAAAAAGGGGCTCCTGAGCATGGGCAGAGGGCCATCCCCCAGGTCAAGGCTTTAGAGGGGGCTAAAGGTGTAGGAAATGGCCAAAAAAGGGGCTCCTGAGCATGGGCAGAGGGCCATCCCCCGGAGGTCAAGGCTTTAGAGGGGGCTAAAGGTGTAGGAAATGGCCAAAAAAGGGGCTCCTGAGCATGGGCAGAGGGCCATCCCCCAGGTCAAGGCTTTGTAGGTGCCTTTGCAGGTCTTTTTGAGAAGGCTAACGGTGCAGGAAGCAGTCAAAAGGGGCTCCTGAGCATGGGCAGAGTGCCATCCCACCAGGTCAAGGCTTTAGAGGAGTCTAAAGGTGGAAGAAATAGCTAAAAAGGTCTCCTGAGCATGGGCAGAGTGCCTTTACCAGGTCTTTTTGAGACAGCTAAAGGTGCATTAGCTGGCCAAACGGGGTTCCTGAGCATGAGCAGAGTACCCATGGCCTCCACATGCAGAGAGTAG